TAGTAGCCGCTCCCGGCCACCGCAGCCTTGACCTGCTGGGCTCCAGTGATCCTTCCACCTCAGCCTTCCAAGTAGCCGGAATCTACAGGCATGCGCTACCACACCCGGCTGATTTTTTGATTTATTGTAGAGATGAGGTCTTGCCAAGTTGCCCAGGCGGGTCTCAAACCCGCGGGCTTCAGGCAATCCACTCACCTCAGCCTCCCAAAGGCACAGGATTACAGGCTGAGCCACTGAGCCCAGCTTGGTTTCTTTTCTTATCAAAAACAATCACCACGAATTAACTCAGTCAAACCTAAAACAAATTGTTTAATTTTATTCACATTGAATAAGTTCATTTGAAATGGCTACTGATCACGGGACCCCTTGCTGGAGGAGCACTGCCTGCGGGGGCTGCTCTGGGGAGAATCTTTTTTTTGAGTCAGAGTTTTACTCTGTCACCTGGGCTGGCGAGTGCAGTGGCAGGATCATGGCCATCACAGCCTCGACCTGCTGGGCTCAGGCAATCCATCCACCTCAGCCTTCCAAGTAGCTAGAACTATAGGTGCACACTACCATGTCTGGCTTATGTTTTGATTTATTATAGAGACGCAGTCTCACCAAGTTGCCCAAGTTGGTCTAGAACTCCTGAGCTCAGACAATCCTCTTGCCTTGGCCTCCCAAAGTTCTAAGATTACAGGCTTGAGTCACTGTGCCTGGGGAGTCTCTGAGGACGTAAGTGTCTGTTGTATCTGACCAACTCACTGAGTTCCTTAGCAGTTCTTTATTATTAGAATAACACCAGTTCTGTTACCTCTTGGCAGTGTCATGCTTATAAGACAAAACTTACTAGAAAACCACCCCTTGAATCCAGGTTAACTGATGTGTTGGATATTCTTTTTCCTCATCACTTGGACAATATGTTCAGTGATATATATATATATATATTTTTTTTTTTTGAGTTGGAGTCTCACACTGTCACCCAGGTTGGAGTGCAGTGGCACACTCCCGGCCACCGCAGCCCTGACCTGCTGGGCTCAGGCGGTCCTTCCGCCTCAGGCTTCCAAGTAGCTGGAACTACAGGCATGTGCCAGCATGCCTGGTTAATTTTTTTTTTTAGAGATGAGGTCTCGCCAAGTTGCTGCACCTTGGCCTCCCAAAGTGCTGGGATTATAGGCATGAGCCACTGTGCCTGGTCAATAAATAATATTCTAAGGGCCAACAATCAATCACTTTTTCTCTTGATGGCTTATGCTGTATGTAGCTCATTCTGTTCGGTATTCTTTAGGCCATGTTGCCAATTTCTGTGCTTTTGTCACAATTATTTGCTCTGCACATCTGCATACCTTGTCTTTTTTTTTTTGAGACAAGGCCTCACTCTGTCACCCAGGCTAGAGGGCAGTGGTACAATCACTGTAACCTGGAACTCCTGGGCTCGAATGATCCATCCTAAGACTCCTGAGTAGCTAGAAATACAGGTGAGCACTACCATGCCCAAATAACTAAAAAAAAAAATTGTTTTTTTTTTTTTAGAGACAGGGTCTTACAATGTTGCCCAGGCTGGTCTTGGAACTTGAACATCAAGTGATCCTCTTGCCTTGGCCTCTCAAAGTGCCAGAATTACAGGTGTCATCACCACACCCAGCCACTTGTTAATCTTTTCTACAATAAATACTTATGTGACAATTCTAAGATGCTCTGATAAACTCACAAGGATGCATTCCCCCAAATCACCACAAAACTGCTTATGTATCCAGTATAGGAGACTATAGAAGATGGCCAATAGGATCCTCTGAATTACTCTGTAATATTTGAATACTTTTCCCAAATGCCAAACCACTAGGATTTCCAGACTAGAGTTCAGAGTTTTGGTTTTTTTTTTTTTTTTTTGGGTCTCAGAACTCCAACGCTCAGGCTGGAGTGCAGTGGCACAATCATGGCTCACCACGGCCTTGACTTCCTGGGCTCAGGCAATCCTTCCACCCTTAGCCTACCGAGTAGCTGGGACTACAGACATGCACCACCATGCCTGGCTAATTTTTTTAGTAGACATGAGGTTTTGCTATGTTGCCCAGGCTGGTCTCAAACTCCTAGGCTCAAGCAATCCTCCTACCTCAGCCTCCCAAAGTCCTCAGATTACAGGCATGAGCCACTGTGCCCTGCAGTGTACTAGACTTTTTCATGAGGCAGGACCACCTGTGTTGTTACAGCTGAGCTGATGACATTTCCACAAAGGCTGACTGAACAAAGTGCTACACTGACTGCTTATGTCTGAAGATTAACAAGACACAGTCTATGTCTTCTCAGAGTTTCTCCAAGGCAAACTTTTCTGGGGCTTAACTAGCATCTGGCCAGGAACAGCAGCTTAAACTCTTATCGATAACTATGCTGTTTCAAAGTGTTGGCATTCTCCCAGGACATCTCCCAGGATGTCAAAATTTAACCTGCTGCCAAAGCAAACTCCAAATGAACACAAAGACATTATATTCTCAAAGAAAAAAAAAACAACCAAACAATCAGATTTATTTAGTTCAACATTTCCTCTGATCTAAAGAGAAAGATGTCAAAACAATACCTAGGACATATACACAAACACCCACCCCCACGAACTCAGATAACCTAAAAGAAAAAAGCGCAAAGTTCTGTTCAACAGAGAAAATTATCTTCGCTTCTGGAAGATGTTTCCACGTCCCATTCCACGTCCTCTTCCTCTTGCAGCCACTGAAAAGGAAGAGAATGAGGCCAGGTCAGTGTGGTCAGTGAATGATCACAGCATAGAGCAGCTGGAGGCTTAGGACACTAGCTGGAAGGGACCTGAAGGCCACCTAGTCCAACACTACCTCAGCCATCACATGTTACAGGGGGATGGCGACTGGTGACAGAGTGGGAGCTGGCATCAGATTCCTGTCTGCCAGTCCAGCACTGCTTTCCATGAGGCCAGGAGGCAGGGTGCTGAGGGTGAAGAAGGTGGTCTGAGAACCACAGAGAAGAATTCCCAGGCTGGCCTGGGGCAAGCTGATAAAACATTACAGATGTATCTAATTCACTTTTAGAATTCTGAATCAGTTAAGTGTTAACATCTGTTATATCTGTGTGAGGGTTTTTTTTAAAAATTATTCTTTGTGCTTTTCCAGAGAAAAGAAATGTTCCCTAATAGCAAAAACAAAACAACATTCCCATACAAAGGGCACAAGACCACTGTTCCTCTCTGTAACACAAGGGTTTTAGGAGGGGACCAGTGGCTTTGAAGGACAGATGCAAATATTCTGATAGCCACTAACTGGAGTCTCACCCCTCTCTGCTCACACAGAGTTGTCCTGAAGAGGAAGGAAACAGAACCCACCCACCTGCAGATAGGACCACAGCAAGGGGGAGGCACAGGCAGCTCAGCCCAAAGTCATACTCACTGCCAAACGTCCTCTAGTGCACAGCAATGGGGTGCACTTTTGCTAGAGAAGATAGTGTAGCTAGCTACACAGTGACAATGCTGGCAGCGCTTTCCTGAGGAAGCAGAGGAAGCGACGGTGCTAGTCATGAAGCCAGAATTTCTGAAAATCATTCCTTCCTCAGAACAAAAAGGAAGGATTTGTTTTCAAATATAATGTCCAGGGCTTCTGGTTTTATGTTCTCATAACTGCCTTTTGTCTAGGAAGGCAAGGAGACTCCCTGAGGACATTTTAAAGAATTATACTATTGCATCTTTAAGCTCAAAAGCTACCACATGTATTGTGACATTACCACCCCATCCAAACAAGTTTTTAACCATAGTTCCTGGCTCATAACTCTCAAGAGGGCCCTGCCCCGTGCTCTAGGATAAGAAATGCTGTGCAGAGAAGCCAAGAAGCTGGACAGGCCTTGCTAGGCTTCCCGGTCTGTTAGTAGCAGGTCATGCCCTTTTAGTCCAATCACATTTCCACATGGTGGTCCATGCTTCTATCATGCCTATCTAATAGAGACTCCATAAAAGGCCCAAGGACAGAATTTGGGGAGATTCTGGAGAGCTGAACATGTGAAGGCTGACAGAAAGGGGAAAAAGAAGTCATCCACATGCTGGTAGGGTGGCACACCCCAACTCCATGGGGACAGAAGTTCCTGCACTCAGGACCCTTCCAGACCTCATCCATGTACCTCTTCCTCCAGCTGTTTATCTGTGTCCTTTAAAACAGCCTCTGTAATAAACCTGTAAACAAAAGTGTGTTTCCCTGAGTTCTACGAGCTGCTCTAGCAAATTAATCAAACCCAAAGAAGGGGTTGGAGAAAATCCAATTTGAAGCTGGTTGGTCAGACATTCCAGAGGCCTGAACTTTCAACACATGGGAAGAGGGGGTGGTCCTGGAGGACTGAGCCCTCATCCTGTAGTTTCTGAGGCTATCTCCAGACAGACAACATCAGAAGTGAATTGAAGTGGAAGATATCCAGTCAGCACCCACCACAGAGTTGTCTGCTTGCTGTGTGGGGAGAAAACCCCACATATTTGGTAACAGAAGTCTTCCATGTTGATTGTTGCTGTGTTGTAAGAGCAGAGGAAAAACACAGTTTGAGTTTTTTCCTCACCCATAGAAAATATGTACAGCAGCTAAAGATACTGATGGAGAACCCAGTGCCTTCTCTGCCTACAAATCTATTTTACCAACACTAAGGCAGTTTCTAATGACTGCACACTTGCTTTCTTATCTAATCAACGTGGCAGAATTTTTCATGGACTCAAAGATAAAACTAGATTGGGCTAACCCAGAAGAAAGGCCAGACTAAGTAGGAATAGACCAGTCCTACTTTTGAAATGTGCTGAAGGAAGGATTTGTTTTCAAATATAAGAAGCTTTGAAAATAGAAGTCCAGCCCCCGCTCAAGTGTGCCAAGATGGCTCAAAATGGCTTCATTTCTGATCTGAAAAATGGATCCCCACTGTAAACAACTTCCAAGGTATATGCTGGGTCTCCACCCACACAACCTGGTCTCTCTAGGAAATGCTGCCCAAATGCTTCAAGAGTCAGCTCATCCACACCATGGTGTGTCTGCTCACCAAACTAAACAGATCTCTTGGACAGAACTTCTGCAAAGAGCTTCCTAGAAATGCATCATAGGTGACTTATTAACTCTTCTTTCACTTAAGACAGGGATTGTACATTTTTTCTAAGGTGCCACTTTGGATTTTGTGCCAGTCCCATGACTGGTATCAGTTGAGGCAAGATCAAGAAGGCCAGGCAAGCCCTCCCTCACCACCTCGCAGGATCTCCCCAGCTGCAGGGTGAAGGGGCAGTGGTGGGTGTGGAGATGGTGGGGGTCAGGCCCACCACATGCCCAGGCAATTGTAAAAGGATTGTTTTCCAAAAGACACAAGTCTTACTTTAAAACCAGTTCCTGAAGAGCACCTACCTTGGGCCTTCAGAATAGCAGCTTTTCCCCGGCCAGCTCCTGAGCCTTGATTTTTATTTTTCATGCTCTTTAACATGGGTGCATTTTTCAGCATGTCAGGCAATATCAGAAAGCGGATCTTGCTGCCACGGATGTACACCTGCTCCAGTTGTGCCACTCGGCCATCTCTGTACGTGACAGTGATGTTGGACATCTGGAAGGTAATCACCAGTTTGTCAGTAAAAGCCAACACTACCAGTGGAGGACAAAGGCACACAAAGAGGGGGAGCCTTAACTGGTGGGAGGGGAAGTCCAGAAAAGCAGAGTGACACTGTGAAGTAAAGGAGCCAGGCAACGCTGGTGAACTACCGTAGCCAACGGTCAGAACCTTTTGTGTACACCAGGGACTGCACTGAGTACTTCACATAAATGGTCCTCACAACACCTCCAAGGTAGGCATGAGTGCTCCCACTTTTACAGATAAAAAATCAAGGCATTTGTCCAAGGTCAAACAGCTAAAATGCATGGGAACTAGTCAGCCTGGTTGGAGCCCTAGCTCTGCTGTACTGGCTCCCAAGCAAACATGTAAGGAGCTCTCAAAGGTGATAAACCCTAACTGAAACAGCTTCAAACTGCTTGTCCAAACCGTGTCCTCTCCCACATCTGCCTGGCACTCTGTCTGCAAAGCCCCAGAGGTCACAAGTGTGTCCCAGATGTCCCATAGGGTATACTCCAGGAGGTGGGACAAAGCCCTCTGGCTTGGATGATTAGGGACTGAGAAGTAGTGGTGGCCCCACAAGGACTGGAGGAAGGGCCTGGAATCCTGGAGGGCTGTGAGGCAAGAGGGCCCTGGGCAGGACCCTACTGGACGCAAGGCTGGAGCAGTGGAACAGGGTTGTCACTTCAGAGACTATGGTTTGTGGACAGAGGAAAGGACAACAGGGTTAATGCAGTACTTTGCAGATAAATCTGCTGCCATAGATAGACTGTGGGATGGAATGAGGCAGTCATGAGGTGAGACCAGCCAGGAGAGCTGCTTGGCATGGAAAGTTGACACAAATCTGCCAGCATCATCATAAAAAAGTCCCACGTTTATTGTACTCACATTTTAAAAATAAAAAATGAGAGAGAGAAAAAGTATCACGTTTACAGAAGAAGCAGCTTATTTATGAGTCCTTCTGAATGGAAGCAAGAAAACTATAATTCATTCGGAATGGGCCAGCCCACAATGTGGAGAGATGTGCCGTCTCCCCAGATTTCTGCCTGGCTTATTGTCCTATTACACTCACTCGTTCCTTTCTTCAAGTGCTAGCTGGCCACCCAGCCTCTGCTAGGACACCCAGAGTGAAAAAGACCAACTGTGCTTTGGGGCTGCCCCTGCTATATCTGCACAGCTGGAAGGTTTCTAAGATTCAACCCACAGTCCCCGTTCTACTTTCAGGGGTAGCTGGGCTCTACTTTCCCATAAATTCTGCTCCAGGCTCCACACATCCAGTTTCTTAACAAATTTTCACACAGTTCCAAAGTCCTTGCCAATCCTGTTCGTCCCTTGAATACTATACCTTCTGGTGCTACAAATGAATACCAGGTATGATTAGACTGCGTAAGAGAGAAACCTGGATCCCACCCAGGTTCACTTGAATCTGACAGGTGAAATGTGTTTTGGGAGCTGTGCCAAACCCACAAATCTGCAGAAGATAGAGAGCAGGCCTGATACCTACATGTAAGACCCAGTTGTGCTATTTGTCGGGGTATAACCCTGGGTATGTTTCCAAGCTTCTCTGAGCCTCAGTTTTCTCATCTACAAAGTTGAGGAAAATACAACAGAACAAAGCCAACGTTTATTGAGCACTTACTAGATGCTAGTTGCTGGCCCAGGTGATCTTCCCATAGTAACTCATTTTACATCACAAAATCCCACAAGTAGATGAGCCAGATACAAGTGCAATCCCCACTGGAGAGATGGAGCAGTACAGCCTGTCAGAGACCTTACCCACTCTATTTTGCTGCTGGAGGTCACACCACCCCTATGTAGCCTGGCTGAGGTGTGAACCCAGGTCTGACTCTAAACCCACAATCCTAATCACTGCATCAGATCACCACTCACTTCCTGAAATTCTTTTTGGTTTGAGTTGGAATCTCACTCTGTCACCCAGGCTGGATGGAGTACAGTGGCACGCTTACGGCCACCCCAGCATCAACCTGCTGGGCTCCGGAGATCCTTCTGCCTCAGCCTTCCAAGTAGCCACAACTATAGGCATGCACTACCATGCCCGGCTAATTTTTTTATTTATTATAGAGACAAGGTCTCACCAAATTGCCTGGGCTAGTCTCGAACCCTCAGGCTCAGGCAATCCACTTGCCTTGGCCTCCCAAAGTGCTGGGATTATAGGTTGAGCCACTGAGCCCAGCCCTGAAATTGTTAAAGAGCAAATTAAACAAGACAATATAAGTCTAGATGCTATCTCTATTGCCTAACATAGAGGCTCAGTAAGTGTTGAATATGAGTGACAGTTAAAATGTGTTTTGGGGGCTGTGCTACACTAAGCCACACCCTTCCCCAGTACACACCAGCACATCTGACTCCTTCCCTGTCAGAGGCTGTTACATACATAAGTCCAACAAAGCCCAATCCAGGTGTTTCCACAAATGGCCTGTGTCCTGGCTGATGCAGGAGAGTCCAGGATCATTTGACTCATTTCAACACTGAGAAGCAGGCTCACTACTGCTCTGGCTTTCCCTATAGCACCAGCAGAGCAGTGCTTGCTGGGGACAGAACCCCCTCCCACCGCACACCCGCCCGCTGGCCACACAGCTTGCTAACAAGTCTGAGTTGTGTCTGCATAAACCAAAGACAGCAACTTTGGAAGGAACTAGATTTTAATGAAAGTCAGGCGGTAACACCCAGTTTAATCAACTTTCCTAACAGCCACAAGGAAACAGATAGCACAAGCCAGGTACCCAACTGATATGACATCCTGGGGGATGTTACCACACAGTTAATCAAGGTGGTGTGAATTTCTCCCACACTTGCAGCTGAGACGAAGAAAGCTGGCTCCAGGACTAAGAGGGAATGCTGAGGTGCTGCAGGACTGTCAACATGCCAGAAATGTACACACTCTTTAGGACAATTTCACACATACACAAAAGGTAGAGATGCTCAGACGCCACTGATACAATAGGAGGATCAACTGATGCCACCTACCCATCTTAGTTCTTAGGAAATACACACAAAAGTATTATGGGGTAAAAGAGCATAATGAATGCAAACCACTCTCAAATAGTTCAGGAAAAAAAGTATAAAAATAAAGAGTTTAAAAATTGGTTTTCCTTTAAGCTAGCGGGGCAGGCACCTAAAAAAATTCAACCATATTGCATTCAGAGTTCAAAAACTCCTAGCAACAGTTACCGGCAATATTCTACTGACCCAAACACATGAGCGCTTGTTCTGGGTTATCATTTTTATAAAGTGACAGAAAACTAAATTTCAGAGACGATTTCCCCAAAGATAGCTATTATGCCACAGTCAAGAAAAAGAGTCAGTTCCAGAAGTGACTAGGTGGTCACAGCAAAGCCCAAAAGCCTAACTCGTTAACTTTACCACTTTCTCTCACCAAAACTTCTAAGAATCAAATCACTTGATTTGATTTTGAGTACAATTAAATGGGTTGACCACTACTCTCTTAATATATATGTATTTCTGAGTCAGAGTCTCACTCTTTCACCCAGGCTGGAGTGCAGTGACAAGTTCATGGCCACCATAGCCTCAACCTGCTGGGTTCAGCAGATCCTTCTGTTTCAGCCTTCCAAGTAACTGGACTATAGGCGTGTCCCACCAGGTCCGGTTAATATTTTTTATTTATTGTAGAGACAAGGTCCTGCCATGTTGCCCAGGGTGGTCTCAAACCCATGGGCTCAAGCAATCTTTTTGCCTCTGCCTCCCAAAGTACTGGTGCAGTGGCACACTCACAGCCACCACAGCCTCGACCTGCTGGGCTCAGGAAATCCTTCCGCCTCAGCCTTCCAAAGTAGCTGGAACTAGAGGCGCATGCCACTATGTCCAGTTCATTTTTAAAATTTATTTATTGGAGAGACGAGGTCTGGCCAAGTTGCCCAGGCTGATTTTGAACCTCTGCACTCAGGCAATCCTCTTGCCTCGGCCTCCCAAAGTGATGGGATTACAGGCGTGAGCCACTGCGCTCAGCCTAACGTTCTCTCTTAAATACTTTTTTCTGATTTTGATTTCTTTCCTAAATACTTTTTTCTGAAATCAGTTCTCTCCTTCATTTTGAGTTAAGACAGGATGCTTCAGCTCATGGTTGAGTACACATAGCCAAAAACAGAAACTTTCCCATTTGGGGACCTCTACCTCTAAGTCATCCATTCCCAAGTTGGGCAAGAGCCTGTGACATCTCTGTGACAAAAATCAGCAAAAGACCACATGGAAGGCAACAGGGGGCCCTACTCTATCCATCCACATGGGGTTCTTAGAGGATGCTCACAGCAACAGTAGGGTACCGTCACCCATAGCTGATAACACGTCTTGCAGCACTGGCCACCAGGTGGTGCTTGCCCTGCAGCTGTGGGTTACAAAGAGAGGTAGAACAAAGTTCACCGCCTTCAAAGCCTAACTTCAGCTGCACAGAAGCGCCTACACCCAATAAGCACCATTTCAGAGATCCCCATCCTAGGTTTCCGCATACATACTTTACGCTTTCAAATATCAAAAGAATGATATGATAATAGGTTACCTTAAAAATACCCGAGGGGGATTCCAGTGGCAGGATCTGGGGAAGGGATGGCAGGAATGATGTCTGGCTGCAAAGGTGGCAAGAAGAAGCCCTGAAACAGCACAAGAAGCAGGCCAAAAAGAGGAGCAGAAGAAACTCGAGGAACTAAAAGTGAAGGTCATGGAGAAAGGCCTCTGGCCACAGGTGGAATTAAGAAATCTGGCAAAAAGAAGCTGTTCCTTATTCCTGAAGTGATGATGACTCCTGATTCCATTCATATTTCAACATCTGTATTCCCTGACATATCTTCTTCTGTCACCCATAGCTAGAATGAAGTGTTGTCTTGAAGGCTGTTGTACATTTAAGAATAAACTTTTGTGGACCTTGAACAATTATCATAATACTATAAGAGAATGATTGGCAGTAATGGGAAACTGCTGGGGGTGGGAATTGGCAGTAGTAGGAATCTGCCTGGAGAAGGGGGGGGCACACCTCATTAACAAGGGTACCTGTAATGAACATTTGTATACCTAACCCCTGAGTTGTACCCCACATCTTTAAAATAAAATAAATTTTAAAAAAGAATAAACTTTTGTAAAACAAACAAACAAAAAAACTCAAGGGACCATAAAAGATGGCTGTATTTTATATGGGGATGTTGCTGAGAATGTCATCTGTGAGTGCCAGAGAAGTCTGAATTACTGCTATCAAATCTTATGGACACTCTGCATTTTAGAACTGATGCTCTGCCTCTGCCTAGCCTTACACTTGAATATGCCTTTCTTTTTTTCTTTTTTTTTTTTTTGAGTTGGAGTCTCACTCTGTCGCCCAGACTGGAGTGCAGTGGCCGCTCCCGGCCACCGCAGCCTCGACCTGCTGGGCTCCGGCGATCCTTCCGCCTCAGCCTTCCAAGTAGCCGGAATTACAGGCATGCGCTACCACGCCCGGCTGATTTTCTGATTTATTGTAGAGATGAGGTCTCGCTGCCCAGGCGGGTCTCGAACCCGCGGGCTCAGGCAATCTGCTCACCTCAGCCTCCCAAAGGCGCGGGATTACAGGCTGAGCCACCGAGCCCGGCAAATATGCCTTTCTTAATGCACAGGGGTTCAGGTTTACATTTTTGGAAACTGTCTACCTGGGTTCATTCTACCTTCTGTTCCAGATTACCTGCACCATGATCTATTTGTGCAGGTAATCTATTACCTGCACCATGATCTATTTATCCTGCCATATAGTTTTTTGTAAGCCACCTCTAACTCTTTTTGAAAGGTGACAGAATAAAAAGCAAATATTAAAACTCCAAAACAGGCAGGGTGCGGTGGCTCATGCCTATAATCCCAGCACTTTGTGAGGCAGAGGTGAGAGGACTGCCTAAGTCCACGGGTTCGAGACCAGCCTGGGCAACTAGGTGAGATCTCATCTCTACAATAAATCAAAAAATTAGGGTGTGGTGGTGGCGCATGCTTGTAGTTCCAGCTACTTGGAAGGCTAAAGCAGAAGGATCACCTGAGCCCAGCACGTTGAGGCTGCAGAGGCCATGAGCATGCCACTGCACTCCAGCCTGGGTGACAGAAGGAGACTCCAACTCAAAAAAAAAAATAAATAAAACCTCCAAAACATACACAGGGAAAGAAGTCCATGCCAATACTAGTTACAGTGGGATTCACCCATCTTTTCCAACTCTCTGAGGTGTGCTACCCATCCTACTTTTAGAAAATGTTATTAAAGCCCCACACCAAACGTCGAATGCTAAACTTCAGCTGCTCTCTACCAAAGAACAGGCAGGGAGAGTGCTAAGAGGACATCCTCATTCCCAAAGAGTGAACTGACTGGGTCTGAGAAGGAAAGACAGCAGGGGAGACTGCAGGAGCCACTGACCTCACAGCCTCTGAGATGTGTCTGAGCAAACTCAACTGTGCTCAATGTTTACCCACCACTGGCTTTACCTATACCACAGCCTATTGAGTTTTAGTCATTTTGCTTAGGTTTTGGTAGACCCAGTGAAGCCTTGGTATTTTGGCACAGGTGTTTGTTTTTTTTGAATAGGAGTCTCACTGTGTTGCCCAGGCTGGAGTGCAGTGGCACATTCATGGCCACTGCAGCCTCTGTCAACTGGGCTCAGGCAATCCTTCCACCTCAGCCTCCCAAGTAGCTGGAACAACAGGCGTGCGCCACCACGCCCAGCTAATTTTCTGATTTATAGTAGAGACGAGGTCTTGCCAAGTTGTCCAGACTGGTCTCAAACCACTGGACTCAGGCAATCCTTTCACCTCTGCCTCACAAAGAGCTGGGATTACAGGGTGAGCCACCGCACCTGGCTCACAGGTGGTGTTATATGCTTAACTGTATCATTGCAAAAATTCATATGTTGAAGTTCTAATCCCCAGTACCTCAGAATGTGATAGTATTTAGACAGAATCCTTAACGAGATTATTAAGTTAAAATGAGGTTATTAGTGTGCGCCCTAATCCAATACACCTGGTATCCTCATAAGATGAGATGTGAACAGAGACACTATGGCAGGAAGATGACATGAAGACAAAGGGAGAAGTTAGCCATCTACAAGCTGAGGAAAAGCCTGTAACAGATTCTTCCTTCATATCCTTGAGAAGAAACCAACCCTGCTGACACCTTGATCTCAGATTTCCAACCTTCAGAACTATGAGAAAACAAATTTCTGTTGTTTAAGCTGCCCAGTCTGTGGAACTTTGTTATGGCAGCCCTAGCAAACTAATAGTGACAGGGAGGCAGGTGGCTGGCTTCCACCATTGGTCAGGCACTTGACACATCCTACTCATTTCCTATGCACTATGGTATTCTTATCCCTGATTTAGTGAAGAAAGTGAGGGAAGCCCAAAGCTCACCCCCGAGTCACACTGGGGGGCAAGTTGTAAGGTGATTCCAGGTCTGTCCAATGCAAGGTAATGTACTTTGCATTACCTTGGCTGTGTCTCTGAGAGACTACCGAAGTCATTTGGTCAGACACCTTCACATTGCAGGTGGGATGTCAGAGACCCTGGGTAACTCAGCACGTTGTCTAAATACAGCTAGTTGAATAAACACATTAAGTTTCACTGCCCCAAGTCTTGCATTCTATTCATCCAACTAAAGTGCCTTAAAATGGATGAGGATGCCCTAAGCCAGAGGACTGAATCTGTGAAAGTGGCACCTCACAAAGGTAGAGTACTACAGGTCAGGTCATTTAAGGCAAAGCCAGCTGCATCTCCATAGGCCCTACTGCTGAAAGAGACCAGATACCACAAGACGTTTGGAGAGCCCACAGCAATCATCTCTGCGGCTCTGACAGTGAGGAGATAAACCCGAGTCATCAGATGTCTGCCTCCCCACATGCCAGGAAACTGACTGAGCTCATCAACCTGGCAGGAGGTTGACGGATGCTCAGAGCTACAGAGCAATCACAAACACATGAATAAATACTGCAAAGCAATGGATGGTCAGGAGACTTGGGCAAGGTACTTTTATCTCTTAGACCTTCAGTTTTTTCTTCTAGAAAACAGGTGACTCCAGGCCAGCCACGCCTATAATCCCAGCACTTTGGGAGGCAGAGGTAAAAGGACTGCCTGAGCCCATGTCTCTACAATAAATTTTTAAAAAATTAGCTGGGCCTGTAGTTCCAGCTATTTGGAAGGTCGAAGTGGAAGGGTCGCCTGAGCCCAGCAAGTCGAGGCTTCAGTGACTGTGAACATGCCACTGCACTCCAACCTGGGCTAGATTAAGACTTTGGTTCAAAAAAAAAGGAAGGAAAGCAGGGACTCCTCTAATGCTATGCTGCAGTCTAAGGCTTTCCCTGCTCAGTCCTCCTTCCTTTTCCCTCTCCTTTCACCAGTCAGACCAGTATCCTAGACTGAAAGCTCTCCCGTTCCCTTACTCCTTTATTCCTTATTGTCATCTCTCCCAGTAAATATCTTTAATATCTAATTCTGATATTAAGTTAATACCATTGCTGTTTTACAGACAAGGAAAAAGGTAATTACAAGCCTAAGGTCATATAATTAGGATTCAAACTCACCTCCTTGATTCCTGAGCCCAAATTCTTAACCAATGGTTTAAAGAATAAAGTGTGCTGACTACTTTGTAAAGTAATGATATAAAAATTCACATGACTACACAATTTAGTGCCATGAGAAACAATGTTATCAGGAAGCTGCTCCACCATTTATTAGTAGAGTGATGTTCAGTAGATGAGTTCTTTAATCTCATTCTCCCTATTTTATAGAAGACAAGACTAGCACCAAACCTGCTTACCTCACAAGGTAGCTGTAGTAATCAAATGAGAGACTCTTCCAAGAAAAAAGGCAAACATAGTATGTGAGAAGGTTGTGCTAACTGCAAAGCACATGGGAACAAATGGATAGTGGTCCCAAACTTGAAGGATTCTACAAAGGTGTAGCACCACTTCTCTCAAATAGGCTCCCCAAATATGGAAGAAAATGATTATGAGATGGAGAAAACAAAAGACAAAGTTAAATATTCCAAGCCCCCAAATGGCTTTCCTACTTCAAGACTGTATGCCTTTTGTTCACACTCATATTCCCAAAGCCTATAATAGTACTTGGCATTCATTAGGCACTCAAGAAATAACTGTTGAATGGGAACTTCAAAAAGACCTCTAATCACCATCATTTTGTCCTGAGACATAGGCCCACACTTCCCTCACAGCCTCATGCATGAAGCAGGGTACCTGGCAGTTCATGTTGTCCTCTGCTTCAATGAGCTTTCCCCGATATACTTCACCAGTGTTCGTCTCACATGTCACGATGTGGCCCTCTGCCTCATGTAGGACTTTAATCGGCACACCAATAGACATCTTGGCAGGAATAGAGCTCTACAGTGAGAGAGACAACAATCAATCAGTTCATCTTTCAGAGCCTAAGATGGTATACAACACACATCATGCCTTCCTCAAGGCCTGGCACTCCATAAAACCTAGCAAAGATGTAGAGCTGCATTTTCTGTGGAAGGAAAGCTCAGCTCCTGGCTTGGAGGAAACTATCTGGCAAACATCTACAAGATGTGGGGTGGGGTGGGCTGGACAGAGGGAAAGCTAGTAGGATGACAAGTGAGCATCTTACATCTATCATGTGTCCTTTCATGTTCATCAAAACAACTATTAACCAATACTGTGTGTGTGTTGTGGGACAGGAGGCTGGAATGCATGTGCAATGTTATTCATCAACCCACTGTTGTCTGTGATTACATTTTGAGAACTACAATATAAATCTGACCTGTCCTACATAGTAGCCACTGTCCACATGCAGCTATCTAAATTAAATTTAGGATTGAGTACAGTAGCTCATGCCTGCAATCCCAGCACTTTGGGAGGCCGAGGCAGGGGGATCATTTGAGCCCAAGAGTTCAAGACCAGTCTGGGTAATATAGTGAGACAAAACAAAACAAAACTAGTCAGGCATGGTTGCATCAGCTACTCTGAAAGCTGAGGCGGGAGGTTTGCTTGAGCCCAGGAGATCGAGGCTGCAGTGAGCTATGATCATGCTATCCACTTCACTGGACGACAGACCATACCGCCCCCCGAAAAAAGAATTAATTAAAATTAAACTTACTAAAACAAATAAAATTAAAAGCCCAAGCCTGGCATAGTGGCTCATGCCTGTAAGCCCAGCACTTTAGGAGACCAAGGCAAGAGGGTTGCTTGAACTCAGGAGTTCAAGATCAGTCTCGGCAACATAGTAAGACCTTGACTCTTAAAACAAAACAGAATAACCCAGTCCCTCAGTCACACTAGCCATATTCCAAGTGCTCAACAGTCACATGTAGCTAATAGCTACCATACTGGATGGTGTAAAATAGACCAAAGAACTAAGAGAGGAAGCTGTCCTTTTAATTCAGCCCATTTGATCCTCCACTTACTTTTACCCTCAAGGCTAATGAGAAAATATTAAAGTGCTCACAAAGTGACAACGTGCCATATGTAGGAAATGCTTACCTTGGAGGAAAAACAATCAGGGCAAGCACCTGACTTAGCCTAATGAAAAGAGACAAGCAGTGGACTTTTTACTGAAATGAGCAACTACTAAGGTTAGAAAATATATGTGTTGAAGAGAGGATGGACAACATGAAGTTGGAAAAGACAAGCTCTCTTGGTGAGGATCCCTGGTTTTCAGCTTTAGGAGTCCAGTTTTTATGCAGAAGACAGCGAGGAACCACTGCAGAATCACAGCTAAGGAATGACCCCAAAAAGGATAGCAAGCACTTACAAAATGGATCAAACATAACTAAGTTCACAAGCAGAGAAACTTGTTTTAACTTCCGCAACAGTGTGGAAAGCATGAGGGGACCAGTGTCCGAAAGGCGGCTGGAAGCAGAGATGCAAAGCACTTTCAAAGGATGACTCTGAAAGGATGGGGGGGAGGTAATCAACCAGAAATGACTTCAAGATTATTTCCAGGATACTTTGAAAAACACCAGCTTGGAGAGGTTTATAAAGCGAAAAGTATGTACTCTGGAAAGAAGCTAATGAACTCACTCTCAGGTTAGTGAGGCGACGCTGAATTTGAGTGGCCCAGGCTTCCCGCTCTCTTCCCTCCCCTCGACCCGCAGAGCTCCACTCAGTGAGTCATTCTCCAGTACCCGGGCCCTCATGGGCGCCTCGGCCTTCCCTCGCCCGTCCCCAGCCTCTGCTCACCGGCTCCGGTCTCCTCTTCCTTCTCTTTGGTGAGGCGGAGAACGATACGACGGCCAAAGCGTGAGGTATGCGAATGGCGGGCCCCGCGCTCCCAGAATACCACGCGTTCCCAAAATGCCGCGCGCAACGCCCGCCCCCTTCCTTTCCCCAGAGGTGAGCGCGGTCCGGTTTCAGCTTCCTCCTCACTCCACCGGCTGGAAACCCGGGCTCTGGTACGATAGTTCCGGCACCGGAAGGGAGAGCTGATGACTGAACCGGGGGGCCGCCGGAAACGCCGACCCTCGGGCCGGCGAGCAGCCAGAGAGGGACTCACACTTCCAAGCACCACACACCAAGGACGGGCTGGACGGCAAGACGGGGATCTGGGACCGAGGGCCTGGACCTCCCCCCATAATTTAACCTTTGGATCCCGGAGCCGCCAGGTAAGCGGCGCCCCAAATGAGACGCGATATCTCGCAGAGAGAGAAACTGAGGTATGGAGCCAGCCCTGGGTGGTCCCTAAAGGGAGTTGGAGTATGGTTGCTTGGAGCCTCGGCGATGCATTGGGTGGGACCAGGGCTTACACCTGAGGCTGACAAAGGAATGGAGCTTGCTAAGGGTAAGTGCCACTGGGGAGCTGTGTCAGCTCCCGCTTCGGGGCGGGGCTCATAAGGGGGCGGGGCTTCCGGGGAGCAAGCCAGGGAGGACACGCGCGTCTGCGTGAGAATTGGGCGAGGGGGCGGGGCCACAGAAGCCGGGACTGCGAATGGCCGGGGCGGGCTTAACTCAGGAGGCTGGGAGCCTCTTGGAATGGAAGTCTGGGGAAGGGGCGGGGCGGGACTTAGGTAAGGGGTGGGGCCTCCGGCTTCCAGACCTGGAAGGGGCGGGGCGGTGCTTGTGGCAGCCCGGCCGCCGCCTCCCGTTCTCCCCACCGCGGTGGCGGCGGCGGCGGCGGCGGCGGCTGCGGGGGAACTCCACACACTGCTACCGCGCTCCCGTCGAAACCGAAGCTGCAGCCCGCTCCGGGCCGGGGCCATGGGCGTCCCGCGCCGCCCGGGTCATGAGGACAGAGGC